TTTTTTAGCTTCAACATCAGCCAAACTTTAGCATCAGCTATCACATTCATTACAGTGTTATATTAAATATAAAATACAAAAATACCTATTATTTGATAATTAGTTAATTATAGTTTTTTTTCTTTTAATTTAGCGAAGTACAAAATCGTAGTTCACTAAAATAATTTATAATTATTAGTCATTATTTTGGTGTATAATGTACATACCAATTTAAATTATTAATTATATTAAAACCTGAGGTCAGAAGCTATCTTAATTAATATAAATTTATATTTATGATTAATAATTTATAACTAAATCTATTGATTTTAGCAAAAAAAAAATTGAAACTAAAAATAAAATAAAATATCTTAATAAACTGTCAGTTGAATGCTAGACTAAAAAGTGCTCTAATATGCTCCATCTCACATATAGGAGTTGTAACCACCCACTCTTTCTGTTACGTCTTTTAAAGATATTTTTGATTTCGATTATGATTTATTTTTTATTTTTTATGCTACAGAACTCTATCTATCAATTAAATACTCCATTGATCAATTACTGCCTTAGCCTTAAATTTAAAGAAGCACAATTCTTATTTTTGAAATTAATCGACTCAGTCATGTTTTTCTATAATATCAAAATAGAATATTTGATTTAATTTTAGCCTTTTTTTTTAAAAAAAAAAAAAACCACCAATTTAGATAACTATCATACATATGTACATACATATATTTAACTTATTGTTATAAAATACTGAATACTTAACCAATCATGCATAGACTAAATTTTATTAGGTTGTTCCCAAATATTGATTAACTATCATCTCTATGACTAGAGCTTCGATCCTTAATCCAACTATCTAGATTGATCTTTAAATTCAGATAGATACAGATATTTAGATCAAAGATTTTTACTCAGATTAGTCAAAAAACTTAATTAATAAATCTAAGAATATGCTACAAAGCTAGCTTTATATATAATTTAACTCGGATTCAATCTGGATTTAATAGAATCCGGATTGCTTGTCAAAAATAGAATCGAAGCTCTATCTATTACTATTTAGAAATTTAATAAATTATTTTTTAACTGTGAATATCAAGCGTAATATGAATGTGACATATCATAATGATATAATCATATAGTTAATCAGTAAATTTATTATTTTATATAAAAGAAATTTAGCACTAATTTTAATATTACTACTCTTTTTCAAAGTTTTTTCTTTATCTTATTTTTATATCAAAGCATTATACTTTTTTTTCTAATTTGAACTTAGATTTCACCAAATTTTATATATTTAATCCTTACTTTCTATTTTGGATTTATATTTGGTGAATTACAAATTCGTAGTTCACTAAATTTAATATTTCTTTCTTATTATTTTTTTTAGCTCTTATTTTTCTCTCTTTACTTTATATTTTCTGCTTCTATATTTTATTAATTTGCTAAATATTAAAAATATTAAATATTTTCAAATATTATAACAGCAAAAACTGGTTCTGGTACTATTATGTCAAATATAGTGTCATGCCGATGATCAACACCCCTGGTACTGAATCGGGTTCATGTGACGTGATTGCATCGCATGAATGGCGTGATCGTTGATGCATGAATTTAATTTATAGTCTATTTGTAAGTACTGTATAATGCATGTAACCGGGTAATTAAGTACCCAGATTGATAATCTAATAAAAGCGTATCGATTCCAAAGGAATCAATAATAAGTTTTAGCTTAGTGAAAAACGTTCTAGAGGAAAAACTGTGTGGTTAATATCGTAGTAATATTGGTGGAAGACTTGGTACGATACGCCAGTGCCAAGTAAGTGCAAAACCTAAGTGGAAACTAACCAAAAGACCCCATAAGTACACTATTGCACAACAGAAGAATCTGGGCAAGTAACAGCCTTACTCGCTGAATCTCGTTAGATTTCATACTACGTGAACGACAAGGAAGAAACTGGGTAGTAGAACAGCCCTACTCATCTGAAACTGTTGTATTTGAACCTCGTGGAAGCCCAAAAAGGTTGTACTTGCTAAACTTGGCTGTGATCAGTGAATTAGAGTTGTCCAGTTGATATTGCAAAGTTAGAAGCCATGATCAAACATTGTGCTGAGGCACATTGTTAGTAAAGAGTGCCATGAGTAAATAAGGACAATAGAAATATGAAAGTACATTGTTAGTGGATAGATAAAGATAAAAAAAAAAACAAAAAAAAAAAACAAACATTACCGGAGTGATGAATTCGAAGAGGATAGAAGGTGAAAATCGTTTGTTGTTGTTAGTTGAAAGTATGATAGGATTAGTTGTTGAAGTGGTGAAGAATTTGCAGAAATGAAAGATAAAAAAGAAACGCTACAGACCTCGGCTATGTTACGTTTGTCGACGTCAAGGATATTTGGCCCGTTCTTGCCTGGATCAAGCGAGACGTAAATGTCAAGAGCAAGTTATCGACATATGGTTTTTGAGGATTATTGATCCTGAAGTCGATAGTAAAGAAGATGGAAGTCAAACTAAAAAAGGTAAAAGGGGAATGATTACTAATAGGACACTTGAAAATAAAGCGATGCAAATGAGAAATAGAATCATACCTATGAAATCCTTTGGAAAAAGGGTCGAATTTAACAAGCCAAAAGATGCTGAAATTGATACCGAAAAGAATAAACATAAG